AGAAATTTTAGTGCTGAAAAACAGAATAACAAATAAAATGCCTAGTGCATGGCCTTCATGGCCAAGTGGAGGGGACAGAAGAAAGAATCAGTGAACCAGAGGCCAGGCATGGTGATGCATGCCTATGATTCCAGCTGAGGCAAGAGGATTGCCACCAGTTTGAGGCTGGCCTGGGCTGCACAGTGCATTCAAAGCCAGCCTGGAATACACAGTGACCTGTCTCAAAAAACAGAAACAAAAAAACAGCAACAACAACAAAAAAATCAGTTAACTGGAACACAGAAAAAATTCCCTCGAGCTGAATGACAGAGAAAATGTACCCTGGAGTGAAGCACAAATTCTGCAACAGGGGAAAAAAAGATCTAGCCTCAGGGACCTGTGGTACTGCCACCTAAAAAATCTAAGATTTGTGTCATCAGAGTCCCAGAAGGAGGAGAGAAAAGATGGTGAGGATGAAAGTGTACTTCAAGAAATGATGCTGAAAATGTCCTCAATTTGGCAGCAGACACAAACCTGGAATTATTCAGATTCAAGAAGCTAAACAGACACCAAGTAAAGTAAAGCCAAGGGCATCCATACCAAAACACATCACAGCAAAACACCTGAAAACTAAATACAAATAAACAATTCTAGAAGCACTGCAAAAGAAATGGTGTGTTACCTACAAGAGAAAAAGCATTCAAGTGTCAGTAGACATTCCATCAGCTACCAGCAAGACGAGAACCGAGGGCACAATGTTTTTCAAGCACTGTAAAACAAAACAAAACAAAACAAACAAACAAAGCTGTTAATCTAAAATTCGATATCTAGTGAAAATGCTCTCCAAGGTTGAAGGGAAAACAAGACATGTGCAGATGATGGAAAAATCAAGAGAAGTTCTGACAGCAGAACTACCCCAAAAGAATGATGAAAGGAAATGAAAAACTAAGGAAGAATTCAGTGAGCAAAAACATGGAATCAAATAAAATAGGCCTTCCTCCTCCTCTTCTCTGAATTATATTTTATGGCTGAATCAAAAATTATAGCACTATCTGATGTAGTTCTCAGTGCATGTGGAAGGAATAGTTAAGGCAGCTGTAGTATACACAGTAAGGGACATAAGAAGATATCAGGTTTCTATAACATCTAGAATTGGTAAAATTACATAAAATGCAATTCAAAGAACCACTAAGATATCTACGCAAAGATATATGCTCAAACATAGTTTAGAAAAATACAAATGTAACGCTAAAAGTTCCCATTCAAGCAACCCACGGGGAGGGAAGAAAAAGAAAATAGAAAAGGGAAAGCTGAGGTAACAGAACACAAAAGAGAATAGCAGACTTAAGCCCTAACATACTCATTAAATGTAAATGGTCTGAAATTACCAGTGCAAAGGTAGACATTGATACAATGAACTACATTTAAAAAATTTATTTCTGATACACAAAATGTACATATTAATGGTATAACGTGAAATTTTGATACATGTTTATTGTTTAAGGCTTAAATCAGTTTAAACATGTCTATCTCTTCAAACATTTATAATGAGTTTAAAAATTCTTTTTTCTTAGCTTTGGCATCTGCAGTTGATTATGTACATCTTGCTGTAGAACAGCCCACTAGAACTTCTCGCTCCCGTCTAACCCTAGATTAGTGTCCACTGACTGACCCCTTTCTCACTTTTCTTATCTTTCTACCACCATTGCTGTCTTCCCTGTCCTCTAGAAACTACCATTTTATTCTCAACTTCTGTGAGCTCAATATTTTAAATTATGTACATAAGAGAGAGCACAGAGTACAGTACTTGTTTTTTTGTGTCTGGCTTAACTGAACATAATTATCTCTAGTTCCACCCATGCTGTCGACAAGACTTTCTTCTTTTATGGATCAATAATATCCCACTGTGTATAGGTGCCACATTTTCTGTATGCAGCAGATTTTTAAAAATGATCTAACTATGTGTTGTTCACAAGAAACTCACCTAAAATACCATGTGCTCAATGTAGAAAATCCTGAGTAAGCTGAAAACAAGAGCAAAATTCAAACCCTCCTATATTATGTCTGATAAATGAGCTCAGCAAGGTGATAGGATACAAGATCAAAAGACAAAAACCAGTTTTTTCACCACATAACTGACATTAACATGTAGAAACCTAAATTAAAAGCATATGACATTTACAATTAGTTAAAAGAAACAAAAGTATACATCTGACAAACCATGTGCAGGATTTTATGCTGAAACACTTCAACCTGGATAAAATAAATCAAAGAAGAACTGAATTAATTGATAGATATACTATGTTCATGGATTGGAATTCCTTTTCAGCTTTGTTTTGTTTTTGTTGTTCTGGGGATTGAACCCAGGGCCTTCACAATGAGTTATATCCCTACACCTTTTTTTAAATTTTGAGAAAGGCTCTCAAATTTTGAGAAATTGCTCAGGTTGGCCTCAAATTTGTGCTTTTCCTATCTCAGCCTCCCACAGATTAGAATACTTAACAATAAAAATGTCAGTTCTCAGCAAATTGATATACATATTTGATACACTTCCCATCAAGATCTCAGCCACATTTTTTGACAAATATAGAGAAGATTATCCCAAGATTTATATTAAAAAGTAAAGGAACTAGAATAGTTAAACCAATCTTATAAAGGAAGAAAAAAAGTGGAAAGAAATGATCTGTCCAGCTTTAAGGCTTATCAGGTAGTTTCAATAATAAAGATTCTGTGGTATTGGTGGGGGAATCAGCACAGATCAGTGGAGCAGAATAGAGACCAGAAAAAGACTCACACAGCAAAAAAAAGCAGAATTTGGTAAAGGTGTAGAAGCAGTTCAAGGGAAGGGTATCAGCTTTTCAGCAGACTGATGGTGTAACTGGGTGCATACAGACAACTTACACCTTATAAAAAAATTCAATCCACATGGGTTGCAGAAGTAATGTGAAATGCAAAATTACATAACCTATACAGAAGAGAATCAGAGGAAATCTTCAAATGTTGCACTAAGCAGAGACCTCTTTGACTTGACAGCAAAAGAATGATCCATAAAAGGAAAACACTGATATATTGGGTTTTACCAAAGTTAGAACATTTCCTTTGCAAAAGATCCAGGTAAGGGAATGAAAAGAAAGGCTACATGGAGAAAATATTTGACTACTATAGAATAAATAAAAAAACCTTTGAGACACAACAGTAAAAGAATAATTAGTAAAAGAACAACAGTAAAAGAACAATTTTACTGAATAGGACTCAGAGATAATGGAAAAGCATGCAGGAAGACATCCATTACTATTAGCATAAGGCAAAACAAAATAAAACCATGGGAATGTACACTGGTACAGCCACTTTGGAAGGCATCTTGCTGGTCTCTTCTTAAAAATAAGCTTGCCATTTCTGTGTGGCCTAGCAATTGGACCTCTGGACATTCAGCTCAAGAGAAATGAAGACTTATGTCCATGCAGACACCAGTCCCTGGATGTCCACAGCAGCCTTATCAGGATAGCCCCAGACTGCAAACAGTCCAGGTAAGCTTTGGTGGGTCTGAAACAGAGTGGTGCATCTGCACCCTGGAACCCTCTGTGCAACAACCTAGACTTTTGGTGAATGAAAGGAGGGAATGCTAAAAGTGCACCTACTGTCATAATTCCATTTACAAAACATTCTCAAACTGACCAAATTGTAGAAATGCAGAACAAATTCATGATTGCCAGGAGTTCTTGGGGAAATGAGGCTCAGGAGAAAGTGGATATGGTTATAAAAGGGTAACTAGTGATCTTTGCAGCTAGGGAAATGTTCCATTTCTTGACTCCACAAAAGTCAACATCCTGGCTGTGAAACCGTACTGTCCCTTTATAGGTCACCTCTGGGTAGAACTGTCTAAAGGGTATACAGCAACTCTTGGTATTATTTCTTACAGTTACACATGAATCTATAATAATCTCAAGATAAAAAGTTTAATTAAAAATTGAATGCTAAAGAATGAGCAGAAGGTGAGGCATGGTGGCGCATGCCTATAATCTCAACACTTGGGAGGCTGAGGCAAGAGGATCTCTGTGAGTCCCAAGCCAGCCTGGGCTACATAGTGACTTCAAGGTCAGCCTGAACTACCTAGTGAGATCCTTTAAAAAAATTGAATGCTAAAGAATGAGCAGAAGGTGAGGCATGGTGGCGCATGCCTATAATCTCAACACTTGGGAGGCTGAGGCAAGAGGATCTCTGTGAGTCCCAAGCCAGCCTGGGCGCACGTCCTTGTTAAAAAAAAAAAAAAAAAAAAATAGATGAGTAGAAAGGAGCATAGGCAGCATGGTAATAAATTTCTTAATGTTTTGCAATCAATGTTTAACTAAAGGGAAAAAGCCAGATGTAGAACAACACACCTTACGCTCAAGAGTCGAGGTCTCACTATGTGGCCCTGGCTTGGCCTCAAATTCCTGGGTTGAAGTTATCCTCCTGCTCCCTGGTAAGCCAGGTCTAGGTGCCTGCCCCAGTTTCTTTTCTCGCAGATTCTTGGTCTGCTAAGCACACAAATAAGTAACCACACTGGGAGAAGCTCTAGATTGCTGCAGAAGTCCTGCTGACATCTCCTGCAAAGTCTCTCTTCAAAACTTCAAAACTATTTTGTCACAAAACGCTGGGAGTGAGAGCATTATTAAAATTTTTATTTATTTTTTTGTGTGTGAGATAGGGTCTTGATACATGGTTCAGGCTGGGCTTGAACTCACTATGTAGCCCAGTCTGGCCTCCAACCTGTGGGCAATGAATCCTCCAGCCTCAGACCCCTTGGGATTACAGGTGTGCACCAACACGCTGGGGCAGGGGTATTTGAACCAAGGACTAAGTGAAGGGGCCTGCCATACCCCAGCCACTCCTAGCTACAGTTCCAGGCAAATACAGTCAACTGAGCAGGGCCAGTTTTGCAACAGTCCCCAGCTCCCTCCCCCAAGGCTCCTAAAACCCAAGGCTCCTAAAGTTCCCAGATAAGAAGTCACAGCCACTCCTCCTCCTCCTAGCCCCAGCCACCACCCCAGGGCAAAGAGGCCTGAGAGAGGCCGCCACCTAAGCTGCTTCTCTGGGGCTATTGTTTCCTCCCGGGCTATTGTTTCAGAGGAAGGCGCTCCACAGCCCAGGGCCTCGCGGGACACCAAAAGTGTGACCCCCCAAACTCCTGGAGGACGTCAGCCCTCCAACATTAGTGCCGGTGTCCGTCCCCCCTGCGGCCACACTGGAGGTATCCTGAACAGAGCTCAGACTGCCTCTAGCCTAAGCACAGGTACGGGAGAATTTATGGTGAGCTGGGGAGGGTAGAAGGGCAGGCATTTTGGGGCAAGGTGCAGTCCGCTTTAGCTTTCCTCCTGGCCCAGCTTTTTACAGTGTCTGTGTGAGGTGTAGCTGTGTGAAGTTTCAGTGTGTGGTGTCTGTGTGTATGCTTGTTCCTGTGTGAGTATGTGTTTGCTTGTGTCGCTTTCTCTCGATGTTACATGTGTGTTGTGTGTGTACATGGGTGTGGTACCTGTGTGCCCCCGTGTGCAGTGTAGTATGTGTAGGAAGGCACGTGTCTGTGTACCTGTGCTATGTGCACACGAGTGCCGCGTGCCTGTAGATCTGTGCGCGCGTGTCCCTGTGCCTGTGAGCGCGCGTGTGCGCCGCGTTCCCTTCCGCGTGGTGACAGTTCCCAGGCGGCCACCTCGGGGCGCAATACAGTACCACATATCCCATGTCTCTCATTTCCGGCCTTTTCATTAGATGGGGGCTGCCCAGAGTGAAGTAAAACCGTTGAAATGAAATTTGGATTGAGCCAAATTGGGAA